GCTGGGCTCTCCACTGGGCTCTCCTCTCCGCAGGGCACTGGGCTCTCCGCGGGGCTCTGGGCTCTCCGCAGGACGGTGCCCTCGTTGCCAGGCTCTCCCGGCCAGCCAGCCCCCCGAGCATCCCCGGCCGTTGGGCAGGGTGCGAAGGAGGCAAGCAGCCTTGGCTACAAGGGACCCGGGGCACTCCAAGTGTGCAGCTCTTGGCTGTTTCGTGGGACAGGTGGGCACAGCTCATCCCTGCAGGGCCAGAGCCGAGGGAGCAGAATACTGAACTGCTTGCACACGTGGCCCATGGCACAGGCAGTTTTTGGTTTGGGGTTTGTTCTTCATGCTACTTATTCTAAATGGGAAACCCATTTCTTTTTTAAGCATGTGGTGGTTTTAAAAACACTGATAAACTGTATCTTCCATTTTGTAAAATAATCAGCAGATATCATTTTGGTTAGTAATGATATAAAGGTGTATTTGTTATTTTTCCAACTATCACATCTTTAGGCCAAAATGTGGATTTGAGGCCAAGTTTGGATTTAAGGCCAACTTTAGGCCAAGTTCAGATTTATTTTGAGCAATGGCTACATTAATTGTTTTCTCAGTGTAGTGGTGGATTTGTTTCCCTGTCATGTTCGTGTTTTTATTGCTCCTCTGCTCAAGCACTGAGGGTTGAAACCAGCCTTCTGTTAGAACAGAAATCCAGCCATCTTTTTCATAGTCCCTTATCTTTGTACAATACCCCATAGCGTTTTGCCAGAAGCACTTGAAAAATGCTTATTTTCCTGTGTTCTCCAGAATATTCCCAGACAGTCCCTTTGGGGTCTGTCCTTGGGATAGATCCCACAGGTGCCCTCATGCTGTACACACTCCTGAAGGTGTGCTGAGAGAACCATTTACCTCTTGGCAACAAAAGGAGCTTAAGAACAGCCAAGTTGCGATTGGCTCCACACTTTGTGGGTCAGACTGAGAGATATGGGTCAGAACTGCAAAGCACAGAGTTGCTCTGAGGCTTTGAACCACCTCTGACTGTCATCCCTGGCTGCAGCACAGACCAGCTCCCTGCAGCACTGCTGGCCATGGGATGTTCCAGTGCTCACAGCAGTGCTGAGCCCAGACCCACCAAAACAACAGGTACAGCAGAGCAGGTCCCATCCCACACACTGCCCTGTGCCCTGCTCAGGCTGCCAAACTCACTTGCCACGTGCCTTCCTGCAATCCTTCACACTCACAGCACCTTCCCCCAAGCGAAGGGGCTGCAGGATGGAGTTTAGGCTGCTCCCGTTCAACTCAGCCCAGCCAGGCAGGAGAGGGGTGCTCAGCTGCACTGAGGAGAGGCTTTGAGCCCTCCACTGGTCATCAGACTAGGGGAGGAGGCTGAGAGGACTGGGACTGCACAGAGCTGTACATTTTAGATACCTCCAGGTTCACTACACTGGAGAGCACTCTGACTAGCTCCTCGAGGCTTACCTGCCCTAAATCCCACTGAAATCTACATTCAGGCTCAGCTATTTGCAAGCAGAGGAGAAACAGCAAACCCAGGTGTTTCTTTGATGCTGTCCTGCTGTCCTCCCATTCCCTGGAGCCCACCAGCAGCAAACTCCCATGAGATCCCCCCAGCCCAAGGAGAACTGACACTGGCACGAAGCTCTCCCTTTCCAGTGCTGTGTCACCTCCAGAGCTGCTCTCAAAGCTGTCTGAGCTGTCAGATCACTTTCTGTCAAAGACATGAAGTGGAGAAAGGTGAGCTGTGGGTTACAGAACTGGGGGTAGGTGTTTCTCGTAAGACCCAAGAGCCCCATCCAGTCCAGCCATGCAGGACGTGAGGCACACCGTGAGGCATGGAGCGCTCAGCCTCCCTTTGAAGGCCAGTGCTGCAGGGGACTCTGATCAAAGCTAAAGCAATCCCCTCCTTTGGTGCACTCCCGTTCGCTACTGTTCTGCAAAATGCCTGTGGCTGAGCAGTTAATGGGGGCATCTGCTGCACTGGCAGAGTTCACCGACTTAATTAAAGACATCTAACAATTCTGCAGCTGCATGCGAGGGGCCGTGGGCACCGCAGGACTGACACTGAATCCCTTCGCCTGAAAGCAGGCGTTCTGCTGTGCAGCCAGACACTCACACGAAAGCAGAAGCAGAGCCCAAAGACTGAGGATGGACTGGAGCCAGCATTGTATCCCCACGGCCTCACCAGTACGGAGAGCTGCAGAACCTCAGCTAGGCACAGCTCAGGATGGTCAGACGTGCAGCAAGTGAGCAGAGTGAGGATGTGACTTGCCCATAGGGATGGTTTTACCTGGAAAACATTTTTAACAGATCTTTTCTCACTGAGTGAAAATAGTTAGCTGGTTCAAAAAGACAGGTGGGAAAACTAATCCTGTATCAAGTGGTTATCAAGTTCTCCTCTGCGCGGGGCTGTGTTCTCTGCTGTTAAATGAAGAAACATTTCACTCATGGGCATATTTCTGTCATCGCTGCACATTTGAGCTGATGGGGACTGGTGCGAGGCTGTTATTTTAACAACTTACTGAAGAGGCTCACAGAACAGGCTGGTGCTTTCTGCTTAGCCTGCTTGTCAGCAGACCCCAGGGGCTTCGGGCTGAGGAGCTGTGGTTGCCCTTTGGCACACAGAGCAGACCAGAGGCCAGGGCTTCCAGCACCAGGGAGCCTCGTGCCCGCCCTCTCGGAGCTGGGAATGCGACCTCTCCGCAGCAGCAATGTCACCGCTGGCTGCTGGGACATCAAGCAGACAGAACAATCGATCCTGGGCTGCTTTGGTCGATGTGAATTTACAAATGAACCTCTGTCAGGAGAGACATCACTGTGTGAGCAGCCTCTGCTCCCTGCAGTTTCTGGGAGGGGAGATGAGAAGGGCAATGGGCACAACCCCTGCACCACCACACAGGTGCTGCAGGTGAAAGAAGTGTTTTGGCCCCAGGGTAGAAGCTGGTGGGTGTTGATATCCTAGGATAGCATCATCCTCTCCTCCACAGCCTGCTCTCACTGCGAGGGAATGGCCCTTTCCCAGGTCATGCCCAGTGAGGGTGAACACCACAGGCCGAGGCCCAGGAGAGGGGAGGTAGCCCAGGAGAGGGGAGGTAGCCCAGGAGAGGGGAGGTAGCCCAAGCGTGTCCTACAGATGACGTGGCAGGCACCAGCGCCGTTGTGTAATGCGTCACGCGGAGGCTCCTCGCGTGGGAGCTGTGTTCACCTTCCGGCACACGCTCTCAGCTGTGGCACACAAGTGACTCCAGGTGAACTGCAGTTTGCTGGGCCTAGAGTGAGCTCCTTCTCTGGCCCTGGAGAAAAATCCTACCTGGAACCAGGGTTTGGTTTGGCTTGGACTTCTGAAGGGTTTGCTGCCCTCAGTTTTGCACCCTGATGGATGGATTAGATACGGGCAAACTAAGACATATTGAGGAAGAAAGAGGCATGCAACTTTTCCAGACACAAACTCCTCTGCAAACAGGAAAATTAGCTACTTCTACCATGTAGAGAAGCCACGGAAAAACCCCAAAGAACAAGCACGTTTTCTTTTTTCTGCTATCCCGTACAATACCATATAATCTGTCATTAGATAATCAAAGCAGTTTTATTAAATTAAAAGTAGAAGTTAGACATCTAATGTCCCTGAGAAGGGAACAGAGACCAACCAATTCCCCACACCAGACTGGAAGATACATTCCCTCGACATGTGAAATTGGAGACTTTGTCCCAACGCATCAGGCCTGAAGCAAGTTTGGCTCATTCCCCACTGCTCTGTGCTCTGCTAGAGCTCTGTCACCTCCCTCCCTGCCTGCAGCTCTGTCTCTGCCTGCACAGCTCTTGCGCTGTGCCCTTCGCAGTGTGCCCTCTGCCCATGTGAAAACCTGGTCAGTGCCAGGCCGTGTTTAAATCTGGTCAATTAGACCCTGCTGAGCACCACGACCTGGTAGCTGTAGGCAGGCAAGATGCAGGGAGTGCTGGCAACGCATTTCCACACTTAAGAGATGCCAGAAGATGTTTCTGCTTGGACAAAACCAGGTGGGGATAATGGTAACAGAGCCTGGAGTCTGGATGCAGAAGGCCTGTCATGAGCCAACACCACAGGGCAGGTTAGTCAGGTCAGTGTGTTTGTGGCTTTTCTGGTGTTCATTGGACTCTCCTGTGCAGCAGGGAGGAGGGAAGGTACCAGCCCTGCCCCTTGCTCTCTGCCCAGACTTGCTCTCTCCACTTTACCTTGACTATACCTCTGAAAGGCGCCACATCCTTGTGCCACCTCTTCCTAGCAGCAGGAGGGGAGCAAGCTCCAGCTGGCTGTGTTTGGGAGAGGCAGGAAATCCAGTGCAGATGGGCTGCACAGAAGAGAACTGAACCAATTGGGAAAAAGATTTAAGGCAGGATCTGGTAGACCAAACTAGTCTTGGGTGAACTGTGGTCATCTCTCTTGTCTCCCACCAGGGTTTGCATTGTGGGCTGTGGATGCTGCTCCCTGCCTGCCCCAAAAGCAGACTGGAAGAGGAGCATAGCTGTGATGAACTGGAGGCAGTGCAAATCAAGATGGGCCTTTACACGGCGGTGTGTGAAGAAGGTGGGTGAGACTGGGGCTGAGAAAGAAGGATGGGTGATGGCAGTGATTACCTGCAGCAAGAGGGGGACTGAGTTCAATCACTGGCCGAAGTTATTCCTTGCAAAGGCCTGGGAAGATTGTTTCCGAGCCTGTGGCCATTTGGGTTTGATTGGACAAGACAGTGCAATTAGAGCACCGGTTTCATGAGAGCAGTGGAATCACAGCCTGGCGTTCTGCTGGCTGAGATAGGACATCCACTCTTTGAGGGGAGGGTTCCCCACAGCCACCAGCTTCTTCAGGAAGGCACTGGGCCGTAGCCCGGGAACGTTGGGGTGTGCCTCGGAGTACTTCTGCAGCTTCGCCAGCACGTGGGGCAGCCCCACGGTGGCAGCATAGAACATGGGGCCACCCCTGTGCTTCGGCCACCCGTAACCATTGATGTAAATCACATCCAGGTGCTCTGGGCCTGCAGCTATTCCCTCAGCCAGGATGGCAAACCCTTCGTTGATGAGGGAATAGAGACACCGCTCCAGGATTTCCTCCTGGTCTACAGCACGGGCAGCAATGCGATGGGTGTCTCTGTACTGGGACAGAAGGTTGTGGAGCCATGGGTCTGGCTGGGCTGTCCTGCCCCCAGCTGGGTACCGGCCCCTGCCTTTTTTCTGGCCGAACCGGCCGTGCTCGCACAGCAGGTCGGGCAGTGGGCTGTAGCGCTGGCCGTGCCGCTGGCGTGCGGGCGTTCCGGCCGGGAGGGACGGCCCCGTCAGGCCCTGCTCCTTCCGAGACCTCCAGCCCACATCCAGCCCAGCAAGGTCAGACATGCGGAAAGGGCCTATCTTCAACCCGAAATCCTCCAGAACCTGATCTACTGCTTCTGGCCTGCTTCCTTCCTCTAAAAGGAAAACCGCCTGTTGTACATATGGGAACATCATTCGATTCCCCACAAACCCAAAGCAATTCCCCACCACCACGCCAACCTTTCTCAGCGCTTTGGCCAGCTGCATGGCAGTGGCAATGGCTGTGGGGGACGTGTGGCGGCCGTAGATGATTTCCAGCAGCCTCATCACATGGGCAGGGGAGAAGAAGTGGGTGCCAATGACCTGCTGTGGGCGGCTGGTGGCCGAAGCGATTTCATCGACGTCCAGGGCCGATGTGTTGGTGCACAGCAAGGCCCCTGGCTTGCAGACCTGTGAGAGCTTGTGGAATATTTCCTTCTTTAGTGCCATATTCTCAAACACGGCCTCAATGACTAGATCTACATCACGCAACGAATCGAAGGCCACAGTGAACTGGAGGCGTGCAGGGTTATGGAAGTCCAGGGTTTGGGCACCCCGCTCCATTTTCATAGCCTCACGTTCCAAAAGGAGCATCACAGCTTTTCTTCCCGTGTTCAGACTCTCCAGATCCTGCTCCAGGGCTACCACAGGTATGTTTGCCTTAACTAGGGAAGTCACAATGCCTCGGCCCATTGTTCCCAGCCCTAGGGATAAAAGTGAGATAGAATCAAAGACTATGAATAGGAAATGTTACAATTAATCACTTGGCAGTAGCGTTTCCTTTGTAGCTCCAGGACAAAAAGTGGAAGCCTCTGCAAAACAGTCGGTGCACAGAAGTAAGAACTGAAGTCTGGGAAAAAGGAAGGTGAGTTCTCTCTTTCAGTCAGCCTGAATGTTTGAGAAGCAGCAGCATAAAGGCAAGTTAACATTCTCTCAAGCTTACAGCATTCCAGTGGGATTCACCCAGTGTGATCCATGTCCTCTCCCTGCAGAGTTTTACACCCATGGACACCAGCATCACTTCAGAGGGAGAACCTGAGGGTCAAAGAGGGGAGAGCTGAGCTGCAGCTGCAACCCTGTTACCATCTGCTAGCAGGCAGGTTCACAGCAAGCTTCACCCCGGGGATGTCAGTGCCTCCCTGTTCCTGTGGGATGTCTGTTATGGGCAGGGAGCAAACACACCGCACCTGCAGATACTGACACCAGCAGAACTCAGACAGTTGGTTTCTCCCTCCTCCTTCCAAGCTTCCTCTTTGTCTCCCTCCTCTTCTCCCTGCACACTTCATTGCATAATCTTTGAAGCAAAGAAAGTTCAGCTGCTATTTCTGTAAGCATCTCAGATGCTGATCTGCTCTAAACTTTGTCTCTAATGTCTTGTGTGGCTCTCATTGCCAGGCCAAATGGGATGGAACTAACGCAGCATTCCTAATCCAGATTTCAACATCTCTCTCCTTGTAAATAACTCTGGCACACCAGTAGCTGTTTGCTTGTTGTTTGCACTTTGTATCAGCCATCTCTGCCCACTGGGAGCTCTCCAAGTCCTCCAACAGAGGCCACTCCTAACTTCTGGAGACTCTCAAAGTCACGGTTTTCATTGTCCAACCACACAGTTAAAGCTCTTGCCCAGAATTCCTGTCACTGAGCGAGCATCCATTCATGCTGTAATTTTTTCTCCAAGCTCCATAGAAGTGCTACTACCAGCTCATACCCCTGGGAATACCAGTGTGGAGATTACTGGTTGTTTCCCTTCCACCAGCTCTGCCCTCTGCGCCTTCCAATGAAGCTGCACACTTGCCCTTCCCTGTGGCATACACCTCACGGCAGTGATCCTGCCCTCCCACAGTGGAGCTTTCCATGCTACCTTCACACAAACAGAAAGAGAAGGTCAGCACAGTTTCACCAGCTTTAAAAGTGCGAAGCATCTGAATGGGAGGATTATGAATATCCTAAATAAAGCAGCAGCCAAAGAACAGGTTTGTTATAATGCTGTAAAAATGATTTTTTTTAATCCCAGGTTTACAAATGAAAGTCAGCTGAACAAATAAACAGAGACAAGGGGATTAAAAAATTTGTCTAAAGCAGCTTTGTGAAGAAGAGCTGAAATGAAGGCACCATTTACACACGTTCCAACAACCAAGGTTAAACAAGGTAGGAGGTGTTTCCTGCGTGCTGCACACCCTGGGCTCAGTTCTGCCCACCCTTGGCCTCTGTGCACAGGACACTTCAAACATTCCCTGCTCAGCCACCAGGAGATGGTACTGGCAGCACTAGCTGCCAGGCTGCTTACAAACCACTGCACTCCCACCAAGAGCTCAAGTTCCTTTCTAGGAAATTAGATTTGCTACTTCATAATCAAGTTCTCCTGGAAACTAATTTGAAAATAAAACTAGAATAACATGAATCAGCTCATAGTGTTTCAGTGTCCATGGTTTGCTGACTGAAAAATCTCGGACACAAGTGGATCCTCCAACTGTGCTCAGTCCCCAGAGCCGTGGATGTGGGAGCAGGGGCAGTTAGGGACAGTTTTTCCCTGTCTTTGGTGAGCTGCAGGAACTGCTTTCTCCTCGAGCAGTGCAGGAGGGTAACTCACCCACCAAGCCCAGCCCTGTCTTTAAGGCTCTCTCAAGGCATCAAGCTACAGTGTCTGCGGTTCCACACAGCTCCCTTAAGCCTCTTCCCTGTCAGGGTGGAGCCCTGGGGTCTCTCCCTGTGATTTCCAAGCTCTCCACACATCCCAGGTTTTATTCACTCCTGATCCTCTCAGCTTCAACTCCTGACTGAAATCTCAGCAGTTCTCTCACAATCTGAACATGCTGCTTCTTCCTAAATCAGCTCCTCTTCTGTGAGCAGATGTTCTCCATGCAACTTTCCCAGGGAAGCTCTACAGTGGTGCTAGGTGATTCCCCTGTCTGCTTTCATTGTGAGCATTCCCACATAGGTTTTGCCATCCCATGAGAGACAGGCACACACAGAGGCTTGTAGTAATACACTTTCTAGGCCATGGGAAGAGGCTCACAGATAACATGTGAGCTTGCCAAGCTTGTTCCTGCCCTGGAAAAGCTGTCTCTCAGCTTCCTACAGAACTCTGCAGTGGCCTGTATGAAATGATGTTTAATGAAGCTGGTAGAGAGAGTAATGAAAGCCCTGAGGGGTTTGTTACGTTAGAGCTTGCACAGCATGATTCCCCTGGAAATATTTTATAAAATTGGGCTATAAAACTAAGGAGAGCCCTGGCTGTCTAGTGGAGAAAGAAGTGTTTTTGAGGGCTCCCCTTTTCCATCTCACATAGCTGAGTGATCTTTGGGAAGAACATGTTAGAGCATCAAGAAGTGGTAGGGAATCATTGGGCCTTACATGTGTAGAAGGCTGTGGAAGGAAGAGGGAGAGAGATGCCTCCTGCTCAGCTCAGATGGAAACATGGTGAGGAACTGTCTGTCCCATTTCCTTACTCAGTAGTGCTCCCACTTCCCCCAAACCATGAACCCCCATTTCCTTATCTTCCACACAGGAGACTGCTGTCATGTCCCAGGAACACCTTTCCAAGCAGGCTGACACCTGCTTGAGGAACAAGCCCAGTGCCCACCCATCCTGCTTCTGCCTTTTTGTTGGCAAATGAAGCTTTGACATACAAATAAAACTACACCAGAACACATGTAATTTCAGGCCAAATATGGGTATGACAAATCCATTTGCTGGGCAAGCTGGGTGAATAATGCTGGTTAATTATTGATCTGTCACATGAGGTACTTAGAATATGAGGAATCATGCAAAATTAATGGAAGGACTTTAAAAACAAATTTCAAAACAGAAGAACCTGAAATATGTACAAGGCACCTCATGTACAGTCACACACACTACAGAAATGCAGATCAGTGGAAAACATTCTGAACTATAATGGATACTTGGACTTTCAAATGCCTGGCAATGGAAATAATCCTTTACAGATTGGTAGAAATATGCAAGGACTGTTCCAGTTTTCCCGTTAAGAATAACAATGAGCAGTTGGCAGTGCCAGACTGCTGCAGGCTGGAGCTGCTGCTTCCTCTGTTGCAGGGCATTAATTTCAAGCAGAAATGATGTGATACTCCAGGCAAGCAGAGAGCTATGGGGAGATGGAGTCAGAAGGGATGGAGAGAGAACAGCTTTTCTTCTGGGTGGTGAGGAACCAGAGAAAGTGCAACGTCGTGGGAGCCAAGAGTTCAGAGTAGCAGAAGCAAATGAAGCAGGTGCCACTGAAGGCAGCCAGGGACAGCCAGGCCAGGAGCAGGAGGGGTCCCACACATTGGGTGTTACCCACTGATCATTCCTTCAGCCAGCAAACTGCAGACCAGGCAGCTGGTGGGAAGGCAGCATGGCCCAACAAGGCTCCCCTAGCACTCATGGCACTGCTTCCATACCCTAAAGGTCCTCTGTGCCTACAGGAAAGGTACAGAAGGAGCAGGAGGAAGTCAACATGATCTCAGTTGCTTCCCATTGTGCAGTGATAAAAGATGGAAACAGCAGCATAATGCAACATGGTTTTAGTGTGTGGAACAGCACTGTGTGTTGGAAAATGGGGCCTGCATGATTTCTGCCCAGCCAGAATGGATGCAACGTCTTGCTCTGCCTGCTCTCCTGACGGCAGTGAAATCAGAGAGACCCTGGGTCACCTAGGGAGACTCAATCCTTGCATGGATGAGCAGCACTGTTTCAAAAGGTGTCAGTCTCTCAAAAACCATCCCTAGGATTTTGATTTCTGGTGTTGCAAGGATGTACTTGAGATCAAAAATGTGAAATTACTAAAGACTGTTGAGTTGGAGACTGACTTTTTGTTACAGCAGCCTGGAAGAAATATTACATTTGTGTTGGCATGTTCTCCACCTGTCTCCAATGGACTCATAATTTCACTGATAGCAAAAGGCAAAATAGGAGGAAAACCCCCCAGAGGAAGGAGAAAAAGCACAGCAGGGTGGCACAAATCAGTGCTAGAAGGCGGGTGTGGGGTTCAGGGTTAAATGGAGGTGATCAATAACCTCCAAGATGTCACATCAAATGATGCATGACCTGAACAAGAGCACAGACAAAGGAAGCTGCACTGGTGGGCTACAGGGGCTGTGTTGGTACAAGCAGTGATTCAGCAAAGGCATTAGAGTCTGGGTAAGTGTCAAGGCCCTGAGTGCACTGATGAGCTTCAATCTCCCTAATCAGCCACAGCTGGAGGCTCCACCAACCAGCACCGCCCATGGGTCTCTGAGCCCTATTTAACCTCAGATCTGAGCTTGCACCACCCTCCTGAGCTACACTGGAGGAGTTCTGCAGCCTAGGATGTGGACTATACTAATGATGGACTCAAGCAGAAACCCCTTGTTGCTAGTCAGGCTGGCAACAAGGAGGATGGTTCACTGCACTGTTACACCAGATGGCCTGGCCCGAAAGGACCAGGGATGGAGATTGTAATGGATGTGCCTCTAAATTGTTTAAACCATGATTTGAGTTGTGTGTTACAGGAATTACTACGATACAGCAGGAACCTTCTGAACCAATGGAGGAGAAACCTGACAGGAAGCAGTGCAAGTGCAGCAGTGACTTGACCTGAACTGAATATTGTGCCTTTCGCTAGTCCTTGGAATTCGCCTGTTTTTGTAATTAAAAAACAAACTGGCAAGTGGCGCTTGCTCCATGATCTCAGAGCCGTCAACAGCCAAATGCAACAAATGGGAGCATT